GAGAGAGAGAGAGACTCTTTGAGAATCGATGAATGAACAGGAGAGATACCGATGCGATTAAGCGGGAGAAAGACTTCCATTGACAACGGTCGATAGAAATTATCGATCGATTTGCCTTTCTTAAAGTCCGATTGATTCACCGTGTACTTATTTCTCTGAACGTTTCCCTCGTTTATTCCTAGGCACCGTCATGCCGGCTGACGAGCGTGATTCTTTCTTGATGATAGAAAGCATTTTCTAGAAAGCTGCGATTTAACATGCTGTTTATATTTGCTGATGGTGCGAAAATTCATGTAGGTGACAGCGGCTGCGGTCACGGAAGAGAACTTTCACGATGTGGTCCAGGTGATTTCTACCGGTGGCGGGGACGGGTCGGTGCTGATCGAAGGGCTTCGTCAGGTATGGGCGCCGACCCTTCGTTCGTCCGGTTTAAGTACATCTTGCCTGAAAACATTGGAGGAAAGGCTGCTCAGTTCCGGATTCTCGATTACCGTCGCGGAGGAAGAGGAGTTCTGGAAACGGAAAGGGGATGGGGTTAAACGGTCGCATGAGAAAACGATTTGCGAGGAAGCCGCCAAATCCGTGAAGAACATCAGACTCGAACTCGAAAGCGCCGCAGTGTCAAGGTACACATTGTTATTTTACTGTCGTTAGTACTTTAGGCAATCACTATTTTTTTGTTTTCGGTATAGGGATGGATTAATCGCCGTGGAGGAAGCTTGCGAGGCTATTTCCGTATTTGTGGATGATTTGTGGAAGCTCGGGGGACCGGCGTACACCGAGGAACGGATGAAATCGTTTCTCGATGTGATTGGAAACGAAGTGGTTCAGCTGGTACAGGATTATCTCGACGCGGTACGTCGACTCAAGTCTCTAGTTTTTATATTGTTCACAATTAAAATCAATGTGATTTCAAAATTTACCTTATGTTTTTTCAATATCTTTGGAAATATCGAGAAGAGTAATTTTCGCATTTTGCCTAAAAATAATTTTCGGTTGACAAAAACGTTGAGTGCTTTTTTATTAAATAAACTTTACTTTTGAGGGAGAATCAAGGGACCGCTTCTTAGACCGCTTTTATTTCCTTAAATAAACGCAATACAATTTACGGAATGCCGGAATTTGCTAGATCGACACGACCGACGCTCGTGCGAAGGACGAAATGGTCGCACTCGGAGCGACAGTATGCGAAAAATGGGCGAACGCCACGCAGAAATTGACGGAGCTTTTCTGGCCGCATCATTCGCTCCATCCTTGGCGTGGTCCGATCTTCATACCCGAGAAATGCTCGAAGCTCGGCAGAAGTCTCAGGTAGGCGTTAACGCATACGAATCAACGTGTGGAATGTATAATAACGTAGCCGCGATCTTCAGGCAGATGTCCGAGTTACGTGCGCAGCATCGCCAATTGAGCAGACTTCTAACACCGAGTGAAAGATCTGGACTCGGTATTGACAAATTGCTCCAGACGTTTGATGACACAAGAGGTGCTCTTTACAGCATTTTAAAAACATCATAGCGGTTTCTCGATGAGAACTGTTAGTGCGCATGAGAAACCGCAAAATAGCCTAGATCTTTTTTTTAAATCACAAAA